GAAGAGTACACTGTTTAAAACAAAAGCATCTTGTAAATATTTTGTACTGTTATAAAGTTTGTAAAATATTTTATAGATACCTCTTTTTAACTACCTATAATTCCATATTTGCAGAGAGGGGAAACATGTTTTCTAGTTCTTTTTTTTCCAACAGTTACAGTTGCGAGCCAATTCTTTTTCTTGACTAATTATCCTAACTTGGAGGGCTTTTCCCTTTATCATAATTGCTAGATATTTCTTACTTGTTTCCTTTAAACTCCCATGAAAAACATCTTGACCAATCCAAATGAGACTTGTTACAAATACATCTTGTGACAATCCCAACAGATTAAGAACACAGGTTTGTGTTTTTTAAGGATTGAAAGGTTAATATTGCAATATTTGTATTTTTAGTTTACTATCTCTTTAAATTGTGACCAATCTAAACAAGACTTTACACACAATACCTTACAAGTCCCTCACATAAAGCAGGGAGGTAATAGATTTACGCCTTTCTTGTAGTTTTGTAGTGGTCAAAGGTCAACATTTTAAAAAATTGAAGGTTTGTTGTACCATTTCTTTTTCAGTTAATTTAGAAAAGAATTTGTACAAAGATCTATCGCAACCACTTCCACAGACTAAAATGGGCATATTTGGGATTTGTTAATCTTTGTTTATTCAGGGGTAAAATGCCCACTACCCCCCCAAAAAGCATGGTATCTCTGTAGACCTAGATAGATTGTCATGTAATGCAATACAGACTGAACGAGACAAGTCAACAGATTTGTAAGCAAATGCAGTATGCTCCCCCCAATAACCCATCTTTTTCAAAAGATCCTTAAAATACACACAAGTTTCATAATATAATGGTATTCAAGTGAGGAGGACAGAAACAATACATATACACACTTTAGAAGAATAGACACTTGACTTTTTATGAGGAAGTTCGATTGGAACATATCGAATTGTGACTTTATAATACATACAGATTTATTAAAACCTTTACAACTAAATTTGGGGTAAATAAGATTATTTTTCAACATGATATTACAAACATTTAACAACTATAGTAATGTGTTTATATGTTGACTTGTCTCGTTCAGCCTCTGTTGCATATCTCTTCTGTTTGTATGTTGACTTGTCTTGGTCAGCCTCTGTTGCATATCTCTTCTGTTTGTATGTTGACTTGTCTCGTTCAGCCTCTGTTGCATATCTCTTCTGTTTAGATGTTGACTTGTCTCGTTCAGCCTCTGTTGCATATCTCTTCTGTTTAGATGTTGACTTGTCTCGTTCAGCCTCTGTTGCATATCTCTTCTGTTTAGATGTTGACTTGTCTCGTTCAGCCTCTGTTGCATATCTCTTCTGTTTAGATGTTGACTTGTCTCGTTCAGCCTCTGTTGCATATCTCTTCTGTTTATATGTTGACTTGTCTTTTTCAGCCTCTGTTGCATATCTCTTCTGTTTATTTGAGGTGGGCATTGATTGTGAAATTTTAAAAATGTTAACTTTTTGAAATTAAAATATGCTAGCTTTAACGTTTAATCATTCAGCAGTGTGAAACTTACTATCTAGGCTTGGTTATCTCTGTTTATAAAATACAGCAACTGCTACAACATTAAGTATAATAATAATAATACTGTAATTTTCAATTTTATGAGGGTTGTGCCCTGATTGGTCAGACTGGAATCCCAAAGATGCTTTAAAAAATGTATCGGGAACAATGACTCTAGCCAATGATTGGCTGAACGTGCCACAGGCAAGTCTTAGTTTCTTATATCTGTAATCTTTAAATTTGTTTAATGTCATGATAATTTTTTTTATTAGTTGATAACTTAAGTATTATTTCCTGTAAGTAGCTTGAATGTTTAAGTTCTGATGATGAATTAACTAGAACACTTTTTATTAATTACTAATGACACAGAGATGGCTTGTTTAAATTATGAAATTTGTATGAAACAGTGTATGATAAAAGATTTTTAGTGAGAATGTTTTAACGCAACAAATACTTTACTGATTTGTGAATAAAAGTTTTCTCGTGTAAGAGATCCAAACTGTTGCTGCTTATTATACTTTGAGTTGCTCAGAATTTATAGTATGTAATTAGTTGTTTGTGTAGATACAATTTCCCAAAACTAACTTATAATTAGTATATTAACAAATTAATAGTTCAAATGGATTTTTTTATCATGTATCATTAAAAAGATGTAACGTAGATTTTCTGTTTTAGACTGAATGTTGTTCATATTTCACTTTAGTTGATCAAACCAGAAGATGTAGTAGATCCAAACGTTGATGAACTCTCGATGATGACATACTTATCTCAGTTTCCCAATGCTAAGTTAAAACCAAATGCTCCTCTTCACCCTCATGTTAATCCCAACAGAGTGCGCTGCTACGGTCTAGGTATTGAGCCTACTGGGGTCGTTAGTTATGTTCCAATAAGTTTTACTGTTGAGACTTTCAGTGCTGGCAAGGGTGATGTTAAAGTGTTAGTCGAGAACCCCAGAGGACAGTTGGAACCAGTAAGTCTGTTCTGAAGCTGTTTTATATTTTTAGTTTTTAATTATGGAAAGAAATCATTCCAGATATGACTGGAATGCTGAAGATGTAAATCTGATGGTTTACAACACTAAATACTGGGTTTTGATACCCATGGTGGGCACAGCATCGATAGCCCAGTTTGTAGCTTTCTACTTAACAATGTTAATGAAGAATGTTTCCAAATATTAAGAGTAATTGTGAAATTAGAATTTTTTCATTGTATATCGCTGATGCAAAATGTAACAGTATACATTAGCCAGAAAAGTTAACAGTGTACGAGTGATTGGTTGATAGATAATTTATATTGTTGTTTTCAGGCACAAATCAAGTTTAATGTTGACGGAAGCAAAACCTATACAGTTACATATACTGCCAAGATGGAAGGTATGCATAAGGTAACATTTATTTAACTTAATTATTAATATACACATACGACATTATTGTAAGTGGTTGTTGATTTTTAGTCTCTTGTATTGAAATATGGCTGACTAAAGTTTCCACCAGACTTTCTAAATCTGGTAGTTGGTTGAAAATAGCCTCTAAGAGACTTACTGGAGTTTTTTAATTGTTAGAAAACCTTGTATGAAATTCATGATTTCATAACTTGAACATTGTGTGACTATAGTAGACTGGAAGTAAGCATTAATATGACAATTAGGTAGGTTCTAATGTTATCATGGAAAATAAAGACAGTTTATTTGCTAAATTAGATTTCAAAAAATATCTTAATTTTCCAAAGTATGTTACTGTTGTAGGTAAAAGTACTGTTTGCTGGAAATGAAGTTCCAAAGAGTCCTTACAATGTCAAGGTTGAGGGCACTGTTGGTGACTTTAGAAAGGTATCCACTAGTGGACCTGGGTTAGAACCTACTGGTGTGATGGTTGGCCAACCTACCTACTTTGACGTCTTTACAAAAGGTATATCCAGAATTGATACTTATTTCTTTCTTTGATACTTGAAGCTACGATTATTTTCAGTTTGTGTTGGAAATTAATTTGGTACTTTGAAGTATATACTTGAAGATCTTTTAATTATGAAGATGTTTTAATGCTAACTAGCATACAGACTCGATTTAACAAACTATATTTGATTTTAATGGTTTAGAGTTGTGGAATGAACACTACTTTTCAATGAGTTTTCTCTTTCTGTTATAGATGCTGGTAAAGGTCAGTTACAGATAATCGTTCTTGACCAACAAAATAATCGAAACACTACCATCTGCAGATTAACGAAAGTATCTGAATATATCTATCAATGCCAGTATGTTGCTCAAACTGTGGGAATCCATTCCATCAGTATCTTCTTTTCTGGGCAACAGATTCCTTACAGCCCGTTTAGTGTAACAGTTTGCTAAGTTTGTTATCGGAGAAAATGTTATTCTATCAACACTACACAATAAAGAACACCATTACCAACATCAACACTACACAACATCATTACTAACATCAACACTACACAACACACTAGAGAACATCATTACTAACATCAACACTACACAACACACTAGAGAACATCATTACTAACATCAACACTACACAACACACTAGAGAACATCATTACTAACATCAACTGGGAAATTCAAAGATTATTCACATTTAATGAAACTGCTAACACGTGTTACCAGGAATTTAAATATCCAATACCAAGTGTTTTATTTGTAAGAAAACATCTACATCTATTACTTGTGATAATTTTACTATTAAAAGTTTGTTTACAAATTATTATATTCTTCATCCATTTTTATGTTTTGTTTTAAGATTTTGATAAATTTCTGAAAATAGTGAATAGAATGTATATGAAATATTATGGGATTTCTCTTCCATCTGTATGAAAAGGAACTGCACCAGAGTGCAGACATGTGCTTCTACTTTATGCTGTGATTGGCCTTCATTCAGCATAAGGCCTATAAACATACAGTCCTACTGTTCCCAACAGCAGTGTGGCTTGTGGCTCCCAGGACACAAATTCCACATGACAAATATGTAAATTGAAAGCTACCCTGTGTGATGGAGGCAACATTTCATATTTCAGTACTGTGTGAAACTCTTGATGAACATACATGAAACTAGTAGTGTTGATAATGAATGCATTTAAAGTAGAAAGCTCAGATTTTTCAAAAGTGTTAAATTACTCAAGGTACACTCTTTATTTGATCCACAAAAATTCAGTAAAGATCTTTCCCATGACTTGATTTTAAGTTGTGGTTAACTTCATAACAGTAAGATGCGCATTAACACAGAGTAGGTTCCAGTGTATGTATAGCTACTCAAAATGAAAGTGTTTAGAAAACAACCAAATTAAAGATATTCAAAACATACAGCAAATGTGGTGAATTGATACCTGGAGGGACATAGGTGCTGATGGAACTAGAGCTGGATGATTAACACAGTTAATCAATATAATAGGGTATTAATTAAATTAGTGTTTCTGATTATTACTACTTTAGATTATTCTAATGGTTCAAGTCTTGTATGAGAATAATCAGTCAGTTGAGTTAATTGATTTAATGAACTTGATGGTTGGTTAAATAATTAGCAAGTTCCATTGACTGGTCAGTTCCTCATGAAACACAACCATAGCTTGACCTGCATGACGTTATATGAATATTAAAGTTGTATGGTCTTGCAAGGGAACTGATGAAATCAAATGGCATCTGAACAACTTGAAGAGTAATACAGCACACTGTAATACAGCACACTGGGAAGAATGTTTTGAATTATTACACATTGATAACACATGGCAGCATAAAAACAAGGTTTAATGCTGTCTTTAAATCACATACATATTACTTGTCTATTGTACAACTTATTCATTTTTATATACACCTGGAAAAAAGTTAAGCACCCCCAAATATTTTTCAGGATTGCTTATTGAAAATAAGGTTTAATTTTCTATGATGTTGTAGCTAATAGTT